GTACCCTGCGACCCACCTCTCCCTTACTGAGCCTTTAAATATGCCTTGCTGAAACCCTCTGAGGAGTTCAGGGTTTTCTTGGGCATAAGCCACCCCATCCTCCTTGCTCAGCCCTGCAATAAACCTTTCTCTGCTCCAAACTCCTACATTTTGGTTTGTTCGGACTCACTGTGTGTCGGGCACACGAACTTCACGAACTTGCATTTGGTAACAAGGGGATAAAGAGAAAAGGGAAGGAAAGCGAATCTTCCCTGATACAATTTTTAAATAGTCTTTCATTCACCTATTAGCTGTCTTGAAAATAAATGTAGATATGGATACAGATGAAATGCCATGTTTTTGGCAACAGGAAGGTTCTAGGCAGGCATTCAGCTTGCTAGTACAGTTGACAGTCATTTCTGAGACTTGAGAGAGGCTTCGTTTGGAGAAGCAAGGAGGGCCAGATCCTGCGCACAGGTGACTGCACACAGGTGAGCATGGTGACTGTGTGAACCGATAGGAGGTCTGCTATCTCCAACATGAGTGGCTTGGCATGGCCAAAGCAGCTGATTTCTGCCATGAGATCTGGTTTTGGAATAAGAACTTTTGTCTTTCCAAAACTGGAGCAGAAACAAGGTCCTACTGTACAGCATAGGGAACTATACCCAGTATCTTATAATAACCTATAACGAAAAAGAATGTGAAAAGGATCACATATACGTGTGTGTGTGTGTGTCTAACCAAATCACTGTGCTGTACACCAGAAACTAACACAACACTGCAAATCAACTATACTTCAATTAAAAAAAATAGCTCTGAAGCAGAGCTATTAGATCCTATGTCAGAGAGGAAGGATAGGCTCATCTTGGAATTTCCTTCACAACAATTTCTACTGCTTTTCCCTTTAAATTAATTCTTAATGCTTCAAGCAAAGAGCAATAAAACACACTGTGCATCAAATGTTCAAAGCTAAGCCATTCACTAAACACAATGTGCAGACCACTGAGAGGTCAATGATTTTAAGAATCATTAACCTTCTGATTACACTGTGCTGTGTCCAACAGGGAGCAAATGAAGTCTCTGCCAGTCCTTAAACACAGACCTAGGAAATCACAAGATTTTTAAGTGAAGGAATGAAATGTTTTTTTCAGGGCTTCTCGGAGGCTTAGGGGAACACAGTATCAGAGAGGTGTCCAGCTGGGGAGTAGACAGCCCAGGCTGGAATCTGGGTCCCTTGATGGCTGCTTCGGTGCTCATTCCCCAACTCAGAGTTGAATGTGGTGGCTCAGAGATGCTCAAAGAGAACTGAAACTCTTTCAGCTGCTATGAGGAGCACATCCACCTACCTGTTTAAAATTGCCACTCCGCCTCTGCTCCCAGTCCATCATATCATGAAAAATAGGAATCATGACATTCCGGAGATCTGGCTGGGGTATCAAGGTCACTTCTAGGAAGGGGCCGATTAGGGCAGGGATGAAATGAAGCTTGTGCTCTCCTAAATGAATGAAATATTTATGTTTCAGAATATTTAGTTTTAATAAGATTTCAGAACATTAATATTATCAAATTTGTTTAAAACTACTGTCACAAGTCAGTTATAGTTGTCTCCTCAAGCAAGAGAGTATTTCCCTGAGCAGATATATAAATAGTAAATTTCCATGTGTTAATATTTCTCCATGATTTTTTTATTAGAAAACTAGGGATTTGCCTTTTTCACAGTTTAAAAAGAGCATAAGATACAATTAAACATTACATAAATCATCAGGAGATAATTATGTACAGAACTGCACATTCACACATTAAAATTTGTATTCAATCACTAAAAATGAGGTTGAAGAAGAAGAATACAGGTGAAGGTTTTCAATATAAGTAACTGAAAAAGCAAGGTACCATACAGTATGCACAGGTACATCTTTCATTTAAAAAGAAAAAATATATATGCTAGTCTAGAAGATTCTATCCCCTAATACTAACCACACTATTTATTTCTGGGTGATGATATTACTGGTAATTTTTATATATATAAAAGGTATTTCTTATCTGTATTATATAATTTACATCTCTAGAAATATAATAAACACACAGCCTAAATAAAAATTTAAATGGTAGTCCAAACAACAACAAAAAAGAACAATTTTCTGAAAAGACTACAATGTGGTAATACTGAACTCAACAAGATGTTGAGGAAAGGAGCAGGGGGGGACATGAATGATTTTGTCTAGCAGACGAGTGTTGAGTCCAGTCCATTACCCTAGTCACCCATGTTAAATCTCAGAGCTTCTATTTTTATAGTAAGAAAACTGTATGCTATGGAAAATGTACTATGTACATTTCATATATGGACATTTCATGTATAACCTTTTAGCATCCTAGATGGAAAACGTGATACTGAAAGCATCCACTGAGAACCCAAAGAACGAGTTTGGAAGCTGAGCAGAAGAGAGCTGGCTTTATGAAAGAGGATCATTTCCCTCTTATTATTCTTTTCTTCCTTTGATCTTTTGTAGTAAGAGTTGAATACACACAAAATCATGCTGTTCAGAGTTACTTGCCAATTTCAGAGTTACACATCTTCACATTAATTATCACTTTCTCTATTTTTTTTTTGTACTAGAAGGCATGAAGGTGGCCACAGACTTGGATGTACATAAACCAGGGTGAAAGCACAGTTTAAATTTATATTGATTTTAAGGGGGTTTTTAAAAGAGAATATGAAGGAAAAAATCTGGAAAGAAGAAAAAAATTTGGAAAGAGGAGAAAAATGATGAGATGGGCAAACTCAAGTGGGTGTTTGTGAAGTCACTGCTTTTTGTGACTGGAAGTGCCTCTGGATATTTCCGACATCTTCAGAATGTGGACCCCACTCTTTTCCCTCAATACTACGGGACAATAGGAGGACACACTGGCAGGCCACTGCCAATCTGAAAGTCTTTTTACGTCTCTGAAGTCACATAGTCCTTTCATCTCTCTCTGAGGTCTCACCAAAAGTAACTGAATAATTTCTCACCATCTCCAAATTACATATCTACACCCATTACGTGTGCAGAAGAAACTTGGCTTGTAATTCCTTCTGCTTTTCTACCTTTATTTTTGACTAGGTAATATTTTATCTTTCCCAAGGGACTGCTTAGTTTTCCTCACCAGAGCAAGAATACCTTCTTATTCATCAAAAGAAACTTCCCTGTTAGTCGACCCTTGTATATTTATCTCCAAAGGCATGAATACTTTCAAGACCAACAAACTCACTGTAGCAGAACATACAGAGATATCAATTCATAGCTCTTCTCCCTGTATTTCCCCCATCCTCCCAACACACGCATTTCAAGCAGGTAACTAGCAGCCAGCATTTGCAATTCCTTTCCATAGTTATTTTTGTCAGGGCAGAAAGCAGAAGCAACCTGAACTCAATCACTCCTGCTGTCATTTGTAAAAGCCTAAACCCACATACCGCTTCTTCAAGATGTCCTGGCAAGTGAGGGATAGAAAGAGAAAAGGTGAAGGAGATTCCTGCAGAGATGAAGGCTGGCAAATTCTGAGGTCTGCTGGCTATACACCTGTTCCATGACCCTGCCCCAGGAGATGTCTGTGGGGCTTCAAAGCCTAGTCACCCATGCTGTGCTCCAGCAGAGCCATGGACTGAAGGGAACCTGAGCACAGGACAAAGATCATCTTGGCATGTGACTAATAAGCAGGACCTCCCTGCTGTCTTGAGACTGTGATGACACCAAGCCTTTGCACAGCTTTTGGGGGGTGCGTGGGGACAGGGGGATGAGAGAGGCAGGAAGTAAAATGCAATTTCCTGCCAGCCCATGAGTCCTCTCATACCTGCTTTGGTGGAATGAGATTCAGAGTTGCTACCTTACAATCTTTATTTTTCATCTTTCCTGAGTCTGGCATCCCTCGACCTCTCTCACACAGAACATCCTTAGCCTGCACTTATTTTATTTACCACCTTTTGCTTGAGTATTCTTGAATTTCCTGGTTTAAAAATCTCTTCCATTTATAGACATTTTACAACATGATTTTCTTTAAAATTTTTTTTTTACAAAATTACAAAGAATATTAAAATAAATCCTCAGACTCATCATCTGGCTTCAATCACTATCATCAATTTTTTTTTCTAATTTTGTTTCACCTATCAACCCAACTATTTTTTTCCCTAGGAAATTTTAAACCAAGTCAGAGACATCATATCATTCTACTTGCACAAACATCAGTAAGAATCTCTAACAGGTAGGCCATTTTATAAATATAAAATCACAATGCCTTTATCACACCTTTAAAAAAGGCAAACAGATACTAACAACTATATATAAAATGGACAAACAACAAGGTCCTACTGCACAGCACAGGGAACTATATTCAATAGATATAATGAAAAAGAATACGAAAAGGATACATATGAGTATGTATATCTGAAGCACTATGCTGTACAACAGAATTTACACAATACTGTATACCAACTATACTTCAATAAAAAAAACTACAGAAATAAAATCAAAAAATCAAAAGGGGAACAGTGATTCCTTAAACTGATCTAAACCCAGCCTATAGTAAAATGTTCCTGATTGTCTTAAAACACGTCAGTTCCAGTTGGTTTCTTTCAATCGTAATTCAAACAAAATCCGTACACTCAATCTTGTAGCCTGATTCTCTACTGACCCTAGAGAAGCCATGCCCACATTTAAGTCAGGAATGTATGAGGATAGCCTTCTTTACTGAAAACACACTTTGGGAACAAAGAAGCCCTGCAACCGGTACAAGCTCTCCATCAAAGAAAATGCAATTCCTATCTAATCTGCAAAGCAAAATCTTGAGCTCCGTATGGCAACAGTGAAATAAACTTCATTTAGATTATTTATTTTCAAGTCATGGATTTAGTATATTTTCCCCATCTCTAATCGTCAGCCGCGTGGTCTTGTTTTGAAGTATTTAGGGCACCTGCTCCTTGGGCTGTTGGCGCTGTATATTTATGCACACGGAGCAGCCTGTTAGGGAAGTATTGATTTTTCTACAGCAGTTACAAGACGCTGTGTTTGCAAATATGGAAGAAAGAGCCTACTTTATATTTAGAAAGAATGTTAGTTCTACTAAAAATAGGAAGAAGAAACTTAACCTTGTAGCACGATGAATGGCAAAGGTGAGACAGAGCAATAAGGCTAACATCTTTCTTTGCAGACTATTTTTGCAAATGTAGATAAAAATGTATAAATTTGTGGGGGTGGAATTCATGCCTTTCCACTCCTTTTTATTGAGGTAACACTGCTTCATAATATTATGTAAGTTTTGTGTACAACATTATACTGCGATTTCTGTATACACAATAGTGTGCCCACCACCTGAAGTTTAGTTTCCATCCATCACCCTACAGTTGACCCCTTCACCCATTTCACCTCCCTTGCCGTCTTGGTCACAACTAATCCATTCTCTGTATCTCTGTGTTTGTTTTTGTTTGATTTTGTTTCTTCATTTATTTACTTCTAATATTCTACATATGAATGAAATCATATGATATTTATCACTGTCTGCCTTATTTCACTTAGCATAATACCCTCAAGGTTGTCACAAATGGCAAGATTTCATTTTTATGACTGAGTAGAATTCCTTTGTATGTGTACACAACATCTTCTTTATCCGTTCATCTGTTGATGGAAACTTAGGTTGTTTCCATATCTTGTACTATTGTATATAATGAACACAAGGGTGCATATATCTTTTCAAATTAATTTTTTTTGGTATTTTCTGGATAAATACCCAGAAGTAAAACTGTTGAATCACATGGCAGATCTTAATTTTTTGAAGAATCTCCATACTGTTTTCCACAGTGGCTGCACCAATTTATGTTCCCACCAACAATGTATGAGGGTTCTCCTTCCTTCACATCCTATTGAGCACTTGTTATTTCTTGTCTTTTTGATAATAGCTATTTGAATGAGCATGAGGTGGTATCTCATTTTTGTTTTGATTAGCATTTCCCTAATAATTAGTGATGCTGAACATCTTTTCATGTACCTGTTGGTCATCTGCATGTCTTCTTTGAAAAGATGTCTTCTCAGATTCTCACCTCATTTTTAAATTGGGTTTTTTTTTTTTTTTTTTTTTGCTGTTGTCGTGCTGTATGAGTTCTTTATATATTTGGGTATTAACCCCTTACTGGGTATATGCTTTGCAAATATCTTCTCCCTTTTGTTCTGTTGATGGTTTCCTTGGCTGTGCAGATGCTTTTTAGTTTTAATGAGGTTCCATTTGTTTATTTTTGCTTTTGTTTCCCTTGCCTAAGTAGACATATCCAGGAAGATATTGCTAAAACTGATGTCAAAGAGTGTAATGCCTACCTTTTCTTCCTAGAGTTTAATGGTTTCAGGTTTTACATTCAAGTCTTTAATCCATTTTTAGTTAATTTTTGTGCATGGTGTAAGTGGGTGATCTAGTTTCATTCTTTTGCGTGTGGCTGTACGGCACAGTTTTCCCAGCACCATTTAGTGAAAAGACTGTTGTTTCTCCATTTGTGTTCTTTGCTCCTTTGTCACAAATTAATTGTCCATGTAAGTGTTGGTTTATTTCTGGGCTCTCAATTCTGTTACATTGACCTGTGTTTCTGTTTTTATGCCCATATCTTGCTGTTTTGATTACTATAGCCTTCCAGTATAATTTGAAGTCAGGGAGTGTGATACCTCCAGCTTGGTTCTTTCTCAAGATTATTTTGGCCATTCAGGGTCTTTCGTGGTTCCATATAAATTTTAGAATTGTTTGTTCTACTTCTCTGAAAAATGTCATGGGGATTTTGATAGAAATTTCACTGAATCTACAGACTGCTTTAGGCAATATGGACATTTTAACAATGTTAACAACGCTAATTCTTCCAATCCATGAGCATGGCATAACTTCCCATTTCTTTGTGTCTTCTTCAATTCCTTTCAACTGTGTCTTATAGTTTTCAGTGTACAGGTCTTTTACTTCCTTGGTTAAATTTATTCTGCTAAGTATTTTATCCCCACCACTGCAATGAAACACTATAAGTCCTTCAACTAATAAAATGAAAATAATGAGGAATAACACATCTAAGAAAAGATGTTCACTTATCACTACTTCATTTACTTCTCAAAAATATATTTTATCAAAATCACAATGAGGTACCACCTCACATCCATTAGGGTGGCTACCATCAAAAAACCAGGAAATAACCAGGACTGGCAAGGGTGTGGAGAAATGGCAACACTTGTGCACTGCTAGTGGGAATGGAAAATGGCGCAGTTGCTGTGGAAAACAGTATGGTGGCTCCTCAAAACTTAACAATAGAATTATCATATGATGCATTGCTCACAGGTAAATCTAGGAGATATAATGATCAGATTTGAAAATCCTACAGCTTCATGTTTAAAAGTAGACTAGTCACTAAATTATGTGTGCTCTTTTTACCCTGTCCTCAGCAGAATGCAAAAACCAACTTATTTCTAGCGTATGGTAGAGTTTCCACACTTCGGAAGTAAACACCAATGATCAAAATCTGATTTTAAAATATTGTCCAGTAAAATTTGTTTCTAAATTAGAGCAACTGGAATATTTCAAATGAAAGTGTATTCAGTGACTCTGGGTATTTCCTCTCCTCAATTTATTTTCTAAAACTTAGTGCTTTTTCTATCTAGTGAGGCTCTTTTTTTTTTTTTTTTTTTTTTTTTACTTTAAGTATAGTCAGTTACACTGTGTCAATTTCTGGTGTACAGCATAATGTTTTAGTCATATTTGAGGCTCTTGACTTATGAAATCATAACAGCTTACTGGCTTTACTAAAACATTGTGAATCTGTCTTTATCAAGTTTTTTCCTGTTTCATGTAAATTGGACAAAATATTTCAAATATAAGATTTAAAAACTAAGCTCTTACCAGGCAAGGACATTTTTTTTTCTTGTATCCCCCAAAATAATTTGCACATGCCCAGTGCTATGAACTATATTAAATTGAACCTATTAGCTTATTCCCTTAAAAATGAAAATCTGAATAAATTCTCCTTTAGCATTTCTAATACTCAATATGACCTATTTATAGGAAAAACAAATTATAACTAATGTATTTTGATATTCTTAAGTAACAAGCTGACTTAGGCTCTGCAAGGGGTATTAAAACAGTACCCTGAATACTCAATTTTTCTTATCATTTCTGTAAAAATATAAGTTGGAAGAGAGGCTTTAACACTTCTGAACATTCTCCAATTCCAGTTGCCATACAGTAGCAATGACCTTTAAAATTCACCTGATGTTTTGGAAGTCTCAGAGCACAACTCTAGGGAAATAATGCAGACACCAAGGAATTAAGCGAAGATTTACACTCATCCTATATTTGAACTATGTCATGCTGGGAATTTGTAGTTGCGTATAATGAGCCTTTTCTAACAGAGTGCTAGAGCTAGTCTTTAGGGCTGGAAGAACAAAGAAAGGGGACACTGTTGTCTAAAGCAGAGCTTTTCAATCTTTAGTCAAGTGCGTAAGGATCACCTGGAGAACCAGTAAAAACTTAGAGACTGTTGTGCCCCTTCTCAGAGATTCTCAGAGACTCTGTTTCAGTGGGTCTGGGGTGGAGCCAGAGAATGCATACTTCTTATAAGCTTCCGGGTGATGCTAGTCTACTAAGTACCACTGTTCTAAAGAGCACTGACATTGTAACACATTGCTGGGATCAGTACACTCCAGAGATTTTTCATAGTCTCTAGATTTCTGAAGAAAACAAAGAAGTAATTTAACATGCAACCCAGAGGGGTAGAAAGATTTTTGTTTCAGAGATAAAACAGATAAGAAAAGTTTATGAAGTATACAAGGACATCTTTAAGGAGACGGTTTTATTTAGCAAGCCGTGGGTCATGAGCCTAAGTGCACAGGTATTCGGCTTGGAGAAAAATTTATGTGAAAATAACCATACATGGCAATGCCAAGATTTGTCTACAAGAGGTGAACCTGCCATGTTTTCTAACATTCTGTTAGCTCAAATGAATCTGTTCTGGTCTTATCATTTGAGCTCTGACAACAGCCTAAATCACACAGAATTTCAATGCAGCCTTCTTTGGAATTCACCTTGCTAAATTAATGCCAAAGGCAGTAAGGACATTCCAAGGGTCTTGATCTGTTTTTGAAAAACAAAGACACAAAGAATCAATGAAACATCAAGACTGAGAGGATGCTCTTCAAATAAGACAAACTGAGGCTAAGTTTGAGCTGAATCTAAAGACTTATGGACTTCTGACTGGTGTTAGTCAAGTGGAGGTTGCTTTCAAGAAACTAACTCACTTTTTTCCCCCTGAAATTACCAGCAAGCATTAAACACTGGACTCAGTGATACAGAACAGGTTTCCTCAAATTGCCTTGTATATATTGTACATTTGAGGGATATACATATTCTGGTCAAAAATCACTCTGTAATGTGAACTGAAGTATATTGATAATGGTTCTGTTTTCACTTACAGAAAACAAATCCTGCCATCTCCAAGTTGCGCTTGGATGAACCCAAGAGAAAAGATACTTTCAGGTCATTACATATTCAATTCAAATAGGTCTACCACTTTAATAAATCACCAGGGGGGAATTACATTGCAGTAATAGTAACTGAATGCTATAAACTTGCATAATTAACATACCAAGTTAAATAAGTTATGGATCTCTATAAAGAAACCTTACGTCAATGAGATTTTAACAATTCATTTTCTAAATATTATTCTTTTCTATGCAACCAGGGCTGTGTCATCAATTTGCTGGATAATGTGCTCTATCTGCTGGGGCAGATGAACAAAATAGGGTCTAATAGTTTCTTAGCAACTGCAGATGCTTTTAAATCCTTTGGCTATGTACTATATGATACAGGTCATTGGCTTCAACTTTTTAAGAGCACAGATGCTCAAGCCAATGTTTCATAAAGTTTATTTTAATTCGTTATGATTCATAGCCTCAGTTCAGAGTTCTAGAAATTCTGGAATTCACAATTCTAAATTCTGGAAGTTTAGCTCATTGCTAGAATTGTGTGTATTACTGGAACGTGCTAGATTATAAAATTTGTTACTCAGTGATAATAAAACACACAAAAGAAAGGTGATTTTTTTTTTCATACAGACACCAACGTAAAGAATTAGCTGTGACCTGATTCAGTGCCAAAGTGTCAATTACTCTCTATTGATTTCTTTATTGACTTAGACATTTGGTTTCAAATGCTGTCATTGGTAAATTGTCCTTCTTCATTTGTACACCTAAAAGGACAGTAATGAGCTATAAAACGGAGGTGGCTTCTTTTTCCATTACTTACCCAGGTTTTGCCACATGCTGAAAATTTCACAACCCATTGTTACTCGCATGTCACCATACCTGAAATAGAACAAAAATCAAATTGACACAATGTCTCCAGAACAAAGAAGTATCTGTGTCTCTTTAGGATACAATCTATCACTCTGAATTAAAAGGCAGCATGTTTTTAATTAAAGATGGTTAATGTAAATGAGTTTGTTTGTTTGTTTGTTTATTTATTTATTTATTTATTTATTTATTTATTTATTTATTTATTTGTAAATGAGTTTTTATTGAGGTACAATTGACAGAACATGATATTGGTTTCAAGTGTTCAACGTAATGATTTGAATATTTGTATATATTGCAAAATGGTTACCACCCTAAGTCCAGTTAATATCCATCACCATACCCAGTTACAAAATTTTTTCTTCTTTTGATAAAAACTTTCAAGATTTACTCTCCCAGCTACTTTCGAATATGCAGTACAGTATTGCTTAACTGTAGTCACCATGCTGTACACAACATCCCCATGACTTATTCATTTCATAACTGGAAATGTGTGCAGTGTACATGTCTTGATGCCCCTAATTCCAATTCTCATATAAATCCTTTAGTAAAACAGATCCGTCTCATAATTTTTTGCTCCTATAGTAATTTTAAATTCTGAAAGACTGCAGACAAAAATGTTTAAATAAGTTCAAAACAATGAAATTTCCAGATAAGACTGCTTGTCCTCTTGGGTCAATGTCTCTCAACTATGATTTCTAGTTACAGAAATCTGATTTATAAATCATTTGAACTAAATATCCTTTAAAAGGGACAACATTTGATTTGCCTCTTATTCCCACCTGATTATGCACTGGTACTTACTTTTCTAACACTTTTTTCTTTTTGGAAGGTGTGAACATCTCTAACTGCAGACACAGCTGGTTTATAAAGATGACTGCAAGGTAAAAGTAGGAATCCCAGATCTAAAACAAGAACAAGACATTTAAATACCACGGGGTTACAAAAATATCTACTGGTGAAACGACATGATTTCTTGGATTTGCTTCAGAAGTGGTGAGTGGATGGAGGTATAGTTGCAATAAGATTGGCCATGAGTTGGTAACAGTTGAAGCTGGATATGCGTATGTGGGAATATTCATCATACTATTCTCTACACTTTTATACATGCTTGAAACTTTCTAAAACAAAGAAGAGGCTAACTAACCAGATAAATACTATATTTTTATATTGCTTCAATGCTGTATCCCAAGTCTCATGAGCTCTCTGGTAGATGTTAAAATGGTAGATGTTTTGTTTCTCGTGTAACATTTCTGTGTGTCTCCAAGGAGGCTGAGGTATAAATTGGATTACTTGTTTCCTGTGTTATTTCATGTTTGGAACCCCTTTTAATGTAGAACAAAAAAAAGAGATTCATGCATGCTTTTGAATACGGTAATTGCTTTAAATCCAGAGAGTATATAAAAATTCCCTACCCAGACAAATCTTCTAAGTTCTCTTATACCAAAAATAGCATCAGAAAGAGAGCAGAATAAGATCCCCAGAAATAAATGTAACCAAAAGCATGAAGGACTTAATGGAAGAAAACTACTTTTCTATTGACACCATGTAAAATTAAAGATAAATAGGAGAAACATTATAAAGAATTAACATCTTTTATACATAAAGAGCTCTCACAAATAAAAAAGAATATGATAAAACTCCAAGCAAAACAATAAAAGTCAAGAACAGATACCTCACAAAAGTGAATTTTAGTCAATAACTAGTCAGTAACTAATAATTAGTGACTAATGAACAATTAATAACATAACTAGTAAGAAATGTAAATTAAAGCAAAAAAAATTGTTCCCTTTATCAAAATATCAAAAAAAGTTGTCCCTCCTAGTGTTGGTATACGTATAGACAATCAAATATAATTGGTACAACTTTTAACTCAGCATTTCCACTTACAAATATTTACCCAACGAAATAACTAGAGTTATTTTTTTTAATTTTGTAAGAATATTCATAAAAAGAATAATCTATCAGAATAAAGTAGTAGACACAACTCGAATATTAAAAAGTAGAGCTCTGATTATGAAATTTTGATACATTGATTATTGTATGGTAAAAAGACATATTACATAACCATCAAAATTCCATTGGTTTCTATTGTACTTTTTGTGTATTTCCTCATTATTCAATAAACAAATTTTTATTTAAAATTAAATGTTTAATATAAAAGATGTTACTTTGAAAAAGGATAAGAAAACAAGATGTCAAAAAGATAAAGGACCATTCAGGAGGGAAACCAGGGTAGGCACTACCCATCTTTATTTACAAGTTATCATTTCCCATTTAAAAAACAGCATATCAAGAATTCTTAGAGACCCAGGCATATCACATTATATCACTGACTTACCGAGAGATCTGCCTTAAAGAATCGTACTCATCTTTCATTTTTTTGCTTTTAATTAATTCATTCTAAAAATTGGGAAGATGAAGTAGAGGAACTAAAGGGTTTACTTTGTAAATACATTCATCACATAAACTCTATTTTAAAAGCTGCCTTAAAAACATTATGTTCTAAGTTCTTTTTGTCATGTGTGGGTATCAAAAAGAAAAGAATAAGAATTAAAATTTACAGTAACAATAAAGAACTCTCTCTCCTCTTAAGCATTATGATTTCCACCAGGTTGATAAGCTTACTTACACTCCTAACTTGTTCACAAATATAATGAAAAACTCTTCTATTATTATTCATAATTAACACTAATACGGTCCAAGATTAATTTGAAGTAACTGGAATAAATTTATTTTCCTATTACTAAGAGATAGAAAACACAAAAGGTAAATTTCCAGGAGAACCGCATGAAACCTTTCAGCCCAAGCAGTATAGTCATTTAAATGGATACTTACTTTATAATCAAAGTTTTCATTTAAGAAGTTCTTACGAAGAGCATCTGACAGGTAAAGAACTGTTGTTATAATAACGCTAGTGATAAAAAAAAAAGAATACATTTTAGGTTGGAAACTTCATGTTACTGAAAATCATTTATTAGGTAAAAATCAAGACAACTAAGATAAAAAAAACCTCCTTCAGCAAGCTTATGAAACAATATTAGGTAATCTATACTCAAAATAAAAAACAAAACAGATGCCCAGCAAAAAAGGGAAAATAAATCTATCACTAAAATGATGAAATGATACACAAAAAAATCTATGAAGTCATATGACTGAGAATTATATTAATATCTTGATGTTTCATAGTTTTTAAATTTTCTAAACAAAGCAAAACCAATTTAATATAAATATAATATTCCATATTTGATTAACATGGGGCAAAAAATCAAACTTTT